CAAGCTCCTCTACTGCTACAAGTTGTCAATCAATGTCTCTCAAATATTACAACATATCGTGCTTTTAGCTTGTGTTGACAAACCAATATCATTATGTGTGTTAACCGTTACTTATATGTCCTGATCGCTGTTACTTGTAATTTACTGATCTGTATTTACTTCTTTAATACATCTGTTAAGTTACGTAGGTATTCGCGTGGAGCAAATAAATCATTGAAGCCCCGCCAGAGTGCACAAAATCCAAGAGAGTATTGCAGACCATCCGAATGATAAGATAATATCGGTCATGATGTCAATAATTAAACAAAAACATGATTGATAAGTTAAATTCGAAGGCAAGATTTCAATGTTTGAGGCCATTAAAACTTCAAAAGATAGCTCTATCCCCCATTTTCATCATAAAGCGCCGAGCAGTCTTTCACCAATAATCATGTTAACCTTTCTTCAGATGTGTTCGCAAAACAGAAAACTGGAAGTGAGGAGGATGTCAGACATATTATTGAGGTAAGCTATGTTTCAATGTTTCAACAACTTCAACAGTTCTAATCAGTAAAATGGGGTTACTGAAACTGGGGTGGTTCAATATTATTATTCAGAATAATATTAATGTCTGGATTTTTATGAATTATGATTTTTCTGAACAGCTGAGCTGATCAGTCTGTGCTGCAGTGATTGGCTCTGGTGTTCTCAAAGATCCATAGTTGGCATGAAATTATGAGGGGTCAACAATTTTTGACATATTTTAACATTAATTCGATATTTTTCAATACTATTTTGTCTTTTTAAACACAATTTTCTAACTTCAAAGCACTTTTTCCAATTACAACTCCTTTGAAAATTTCCTGAATACTATTCAACATGTTAAAAAATAATCAAAAACAAATATCTATTGACCATCTATCAAGATTTCTTAAACAAATAATGCTGCGATCATTCATAATCATCTTAGAAATATCCGAGATCATCTCGACATCTTTTAATATTATTTCAAATATATTATGGCCTTTTATCATGAGTCATGTAAACTTTTCAACAACATCTTTACTAAACTTTCTTTCTAAAACTTACTTCGCATCTTTAAACTTTTAAATAAATTTGTAATGCTTCATCTTTTTAATTACTCTCAACGTACAGAATGGTGAATGCTGTCAGATTTTGAATACTTTTCAGTTTTTACCAAACAGTAATAATGAATAGAGCTTAAATTATAAGTCTTGATAATACAAAAGAAGTTTTTGTTAACAAAAACTACCGCCATGTCGATTGAACTAAGTATTATAATTGCTCTATTATGTTCCAACAACAATTGTGTTCTAATTTTACGTGGCTTACTGCCCCAATCCAATTAAATATGGGCTGGAATCTCGTTAATTTTAACTTAATATTATCGCGAGATATAATTTAATCTGCTAATCTCCACTTCATTTATAGCTCACGTAGATCTTAAACTGATTTATCTTGATATCTTGAATAGACTTCATTGGAGTGTTAATTGAAGCAATAATTATAGACGAACGAAAAGGGAGAGAAAGTTGAGAGATTGATAGTAAGTTATGAAACATGCATGCATGCGATAAATCCACGGAGCCACCTATTTCAGGCCCAGTTACCCCAGCCTCAATACCTCAAACCTCAATCATTATAATAGGCATTATCCTAAAACTGGCATGGTATAATATGTATGGCCTGGCATGGTATATGGCCTTAAGATGTGATTATTTGAGGCACGGTTTATTTTTTGGACCCATGGTATTGAGGCTGGGAGCACGACTTCTCGGGCCCAAGGTATTGAGACTGCAGGAAGGTCACCAATGCAACAAGTGCAATACGTGATGTGCAACACGCGCAGTTCGTGATGACTTGATGTGCGTGATGTAACACTGAGCAAGCTTTCTGCTTTTCTGTGAGATTAATTGCTATTGTGGTGTTGTTCTTAACATCATGTTGTTGTGATCGCAGACCACCTTTCAAAGCAGTGTAATAATTAAATGTCTTAGCTGGTATTGCTGACAAAAATATTGATGTGTGGTATGTGTAATTATCTTTTCGTGGGTTTCATTAAAGCATAAAATATGTTGATCATCTTTTCTCGAATATATCTTAATATCTACTTATTCTATCTATTCAATTATTAAATGTACGGTACACTAGTACCTAATTTACTGTAACCAATAATTTCAAGGCCCAAGTCAGTTATTTTAATGCCATTGGCCCTGTAGATGTTTAGTTAACCTAACCAGGGTTACACAACATATAATAATTTCTCTGTCCGACTAGGTGATGAGTCTTCGTTAGGTGCAAATTTTAATATTTCACCTTTAAACAACGGCAAGCTGCGTTTATACAGAAAATGTATAATGCGAAGCTTTTCTTACCAAGAGTCAATCACTAAACTGTAGGTATCACAAAGTCGTAACGGGCATGTTTTTCCTACATTTCGTACTATACGGTATCATAAAGCACCATTATTTGGACGGGAGACCCCTCAAGAAGTTTGAATAGTAACCCGTCTCCCGTTTTGATAGTGCCAAATATTCATTCACACGATTCAGATAGCTAGGAATATTTAAGATTCTTTCATCCAATTATAAATACTTCATAATGATCACACATTCTTATGTATTCATACGTAATAAATACTCAAACCTGTACCTAGTCCAAAGTATTTGCTAGCTATACCATCATCACGAACACTCCTTCAATTCTAGGGTCCTTTTGGATTCTCAGACAGGTCGGCTGGCCGAGTAAATGCCTGGCAGTCCTCTTCTGTACATGTTCTAAATCAACAATCTGGAATATATGACATGGGACCAGTTACTTCTAGTGATAACCATGGTTCCCAACCCGCTAAACCTCTCAGTTCTTGGCAAACTACCATAAATACGGTATCTCCCAGCTAACAAGCATCTTGCACCTTTATATTCTCACCAGTCATTGCCCACTAATCATCCTGCATAAATTAGACGAGATGATATTATGCTAGACAACATGTCTGCTTGAAAAAAGAGAGTGGTGTCTGGAAACCTAGGGACGTGTGAGCTTGTTGACAATAAAGTTACTGGGCTGTCTGGTAACTTGGTAAATTTAAACACCTTGTTAATGTTTCTAGAAATAGAAATATTTGAAAACAAGCTGTCATTTTGTTTCAAGAAGCAGAACACTCTCAAACATTTTGCCAAAATGCATAATATTATGTTCCCAATTCCTACAGCCTAGACTTCCACCATCTTCTAGTTCTAGCTTTATATCCCGCCTACAGCTGTCACGGATATGAGACGTACCACACAAATTCCATGATAACACAAATTTAGCTCTTTATCTGAAGACAATGAAATTGTAAGTGTACTCGTCCACATTCTACAGCCCGCTACAGTCTACAGTTATTCACAAACAATTAGTGGCCCTCCTGTTTATTACAAAGGAGCACACATCACAAACACACACACACACACACAGCATCATTGACTGTATATCTCATGGAATTTTAGCAGGAATTTGTCCGTAATACGATCTTTATTTCTTCGCAGAAATTGCGAGGAAGAATTTAAAATCGGCTAATGAACTGTGTTATTATTGATATTAGATCCACAAATAGCTATTTCGTGAGGCCAAAACCCAAATTGGAATTTAAAACGTATTAAACTAGATCTATTTCTATACCATGACATTGTTGGAATTGTTGGAATACTCGATCATTTCAGACCAATAACAAATCCGATAGTCAGACTCAAGTAAATGAGATTGTGGTGAGAGATTTTTAATGTCACGTGATCAGTGGCATGGCACGTGCCGCTAGTGTTGACACAGTGACCTTTCTTTTTTGCTATATCTATGATTGAATTTGGCCATTTGTTGCTATGGCAACTGGAGTGTTACGAGTGTGTGTATGACTGGCTTTTTTTTGCGCGATATCTCGTGCTAATCTAGGCTATTATATGTTGTGTGTTTAGGCTTTTGCACGATAAATTGGTTTGAATTGGTTTGGTATTTTCCTAAGTATTGGAGTGGTATTTTCCTAAGTATTGGAGTGGTATTTTCCTAAGTATTAGTTAATAATAATAGTATTCTAAGAAAACTGAGAATGCAACGCTACGTCATAATGATGGCATCTCGTTATAAACATAATTTATCAAAAGAAAGATGAAAAATAAATTTTTGTTAGTATCATAAAACAAAGAGTTATAATACAAAATGTATTTATCTACAATAAAAACGCACCCTGCGTTTTTAAATAGCAAACTATTTATAGTTAGTACACCAATTAACAGTAAATAGCATCCTATTAAAACCCCGCCCTGTAAATATTCTACCAGTTCTAAAACTACTGTGTAAATTGGAAAGCTCCCATCCGTGCAGGCTCTCAATAGTATTAATCCTAGCTCCCCAGCCCGGTGAGAGAGGGGGTTATTAAGCACACACTGTGAACACGCATCAGCACATGGTCAATCCGTTTCAACAACTCAGAGAGCCCGAACGTGGTGGTCTCTGTTGACAGTGTTAGCAGTCAGACTTCACTATTCCCCTTCATTATAACTATTATATCCCCGTGGCCGCCCTGTTCCGCCCTGAAAGATCCTTTACTAATATTCCTTACCTTCCCAGATGGGAAAGAAACAGCTGAAAGACCCCAAGGAAGCAGCAGACATTGCTACCGCCGAGATGTTGAGAAGAACTCATCACTCCCGAGCTTGGTACAGGGTTATCGCAGGTCGAGCCAACAAGGGAGGAAGCAAGGTTCCATTCTACAACAAACCAAAGGTATGTGGAATTTAAGAGGTTTTTTAGCTTCAGCAAGATTTATTTATATGTTTTATTCATCATTCTATTCAGAGTATTTCTTTTTAGATGACCAGATATTCTCAATGTATAGGTCCTGGAGGCAATGCTCATGCCAATGTTTGTTGGTTTGCCAGTAAGCATATATTTCCGTTTGTGCTTCGTGTCGATCAATAATTGAGAATAATGACTCCTAAAACAGCTGGCCGAAACAAATGGTTGAACGTTGTTAATTAACACGTCCAGTAGTACAATAATTAGTTCGTAGTCAAGATAATTGCTGTGCCTTTTGATTCCTGGACTGTAATTATGTATAATTATGATCAAGCACGTGACATTTTGTAAAACTTTAATGACTGATTGGTTTGACTTGTTCAGATCGCAACTACAGAGGTAAGGAGAAATATTATATGTATATAATAAATATTATAATCCAGGTTATAAATGTACACCGTGTTAGTTGAAATCTATTCGTTCATTTGTTTTCCAATATCTCATGTTGTTCAACTATGTGCACATTGCATATTATGTACAAAAACAATAAAATTGGTGTCCCGTAACACCATTGCATTGTAAGCTAGCACAATTGGAAACTATATGAAGATGTAAGAGGATGGCTTAGCGCCCCCGGTAACTTGTACTCCGTTTTATAGATCTAGAATCTAGATTGTAGAGTAGGCTGTATGACGTGTATGTGTATAAATATTGACAACATAACAAATTTGGTATATAATCACATACGACCTGGAGCTAACTACCGGTCTGGAGATTTGAAAACGGTCGGATATCAATCTAGACCGGAACAGAGTGGCAAACAGGAGAATTAAATTTTTACTGGAAAGTTTTGAAATTTCGCTGGTTGTTTAAACCTAAGTACCCCTTGAAATCACATTTTCAAAAAATACAATTTTTTCCTTGAAATTTCCAGTCGATATCCGGCCACGTACCTTTGAAACCGGACTGGAACCGGATATTGAAGCCGGATATCCGGCTGGAACCGCAACAGAATCACCAGAATTTTCCACCGATCTTCGAAGTTTTGCAGAACCTGATTTAAGTGTTCACATTCCATACTACGATAATAAAATTAACCTAAATCGCCGATACAGACAATGTAATTATTACTGATAGATTGTCAGTGTTGTGCGTCATCAGTGTGTGTAGCCAGTGTAATTACCATGGTAACGAGTGTATTTGTGTACCTCTTGCATTGGCTCTGGTACTATGAATAACTCTGTGTGACTAAACCGACTAATGGTACACAAGATGAGTATTGTGGAGGTATTTGTGGAATGTGGAGATGTGGAGATGTACCTGGGTACTGGGTGTGGAAGCTACTGCAGAGCTGAGGTTAGCTAGATCTATAACGGCTTAGTGGCTCAGTTGGTTAATCCTCCTGGTATTGCTTGAGGTACCAGGTTCGATTCCCGACTCTGTCACTAGCCGTGGGGTGAGCGTCGTCGACGCTCAGCTAAGGATCCTGAGTGGTCTATGCAGCCCCCCGGTCCACTCAGCCAAATACTCGAGAAATCGGGTGTGAGGGTTAAATGAGGAGCTGCCCATTGCAGCAAAGTCTCGGGCGAAGAAAGTATGGTACACACTACCTTAACCGTCACTGGCCTAATGTATAATTGAATCCTTCGGCTTCCTGTAATTGGCTGGTTACACACTTGTGTAACAATGTTGCTGTTGGAATGTCCGAAGTAAAATAAGTGTTGAGATAAAAAATAAATCTAGTGTGTGCGATCTGTAAGTTAAGATAGTGTGGTTATACTGAATAGTGAGCGATATTGCTTATGATCGTCTGAATGCCCGGCACTAAGTAAACACAGTCTGTTGTCATAAATAGTTGCCATGGTAACCAATGTACATTTACTTGTATACTTGTGGTGTACTCAATCAAGCTGCAGCTTTATAGGGATCGTACTGTGTAACGTTCACAGCAAGATTACAGCTTGTTCACAGCTCAGTATTTAGTATAACAGGATGACAATTACATTCTTGAAATAGTTCAACAGATAGCCTGTAAACTGTAGTATTAACTCCCGAGGGGTCCTCGGCTGTCTGTGCGCACAAAGTCAGTGCAACTAAATTTCACAAGCGTCCGTGATAATTTGACTCTTGCCAGATTTTGATATTTAGATGGAACGTGGCAAAATAATTTACAGGTACGGAATCTAAAAAAAGCTTAAAACTTCTTTAAAATGAGTCAAAAAGTAACGGTCAGGACATGCTGAAAAGCCGCCAAACGTGGGAAATGTCAGCGACACATCATTTTCTTACTTTACAAGTCTAGCTCCATCAATGGGAATTATTAGTAATGTTATATATTGCCCCAAAATTTAAAATTTCAGCTAGACGATCAAATTAATATATGTTTAAATTCACGGCTACAAAAAGTTGAAATTCAAATATTTCTTGCAATGTGACAATGTCACATGCACGTTGATAAATTTAGAGTAAATATTATTAAGGATTTGAAAATGTCCGTATTGGAACGTCAGGAACATTTATTATATAAATATTCATTAGGTGACCATGTATTAGGTTAATAGAATGATAATCAGTGTAATTTTTAAGATTTTCGAGATTTAGTTGTTGTTTTGGTCACCAGTAAAGTAAATTAGTCAGTGTAACTCTTTTTCTTTTCTGTTCGTTTTATTTTAAGAATGTTTATCTCAGGACGATGAAGATCTTGCTGCCAGGGAACCAAGCCGAAACGGTGACATGACAGGTAACTTCCACAGTAACTATAGTTACAATTGTTATCAAGTAGTTACAGTCACCATAAACAATTAAACATTAAACATTCCTAAAATCACACATACCTCAGTTTATTATTTGACTTTTCTGATAATAAATGTCTAAACGTTTAGACAACAAAATGTCTAGCTTTACAACTTCAATTAGAATTCCGATAATCTATTTTAACTTATGTTAAAACTTAACTTATTTTGACAAAATCAGCGATGATTCGGATTGTAAAAGCTGGTACATAATGACTCTAACTAAAATTAACATATTTCAGTGGCCAGAATTGAGTTCTCCGCTGCAGCATACTCTTGCATGGAAAACGAGGGAACCATCAAACTGGGGGTTATTCGAACTGGAAACCTGAACTGCAAAACAACCATAAAGTAAGTGCTATTATGAAGATTAATGGCAGTCTTTTAACGTTATTCATAGAATAATAATTGATCAGTGCCAGCAGATCTTTAGTATCTGATACAGTTCTTTATGAACGTATTTTGGCACATAAGGGTCGGTAGATATTGTATATTACTTATTCCAGTGGATCTATGTCTTATGTTTCTTGTGTAACTAGAAAGTGCGTACTATACCGTTAGAATAAGGCGATTTGAACTAGATTTGAACTATATTTCCTTGGCTTACTTACTTAGCACACGAATGTAATCATCCTTAAAATAGATAATTGAAGCGTCTAATCCAGTTTACCTGGATAAAATCTGCTTACTAATCCTCTAATTGCTTAGTAATTTAGTCTTGCCATTCACTGACTAATGATACATCAGTTCATAACATTTCTGAGCTGTACCAGTCCACTATGTTAGAATCTCCGTGTAGGATTTGGAATGAAACTTCGTAAATATTTGACAAACACTGAAATATTTCAACATCCAACCTCATTAAGTTATTGTAACTGTAAGACCACTTGAACAATGAACAAGCTTCAAATTGTTTTTGAACAGAACCTTCAACACAATTTGAACCAATGAAGCTTCTTCTTTTAACGATATAAAATTGACCTTTCTCTACCAGTTACGAAACATCCGACGGTACAGCCAATGCTGGTGAGGACTACGTATCCAAGGCTGGAATCATTGAATTTATCGAGGGAGAATACATCAAGACAGTCGAGATCGAAATCATTGACGACGATGTCTGGGAAGAGACTGAAACCTTCTTCGTGAGACTGTTCAACCCTTCAAGGGGAACTGAAATGGACAAGATCTGCGTCACTCAAGTTTCTATCATCAACGATGATGGTGAGTTCACATTTCATGACGTCATTACATACGGGGCATTAGTATAAAGTTCGAAACTTAACGCCTTATCGTGTACTTGATGTATTGTATTCCACGTAATATGTACCAGTAATGAAATTACATTTTCCATTAAATCCTCGACACGCACAACATTATATCACAATTTATTAAGTCTCCCAAATAACTGCTGACTGTAAAATTTGACTGTCACATTGCAGACTGTTACACTCTGTAACACCTGACTGTAACACGCTCCCCTCCCAGAACCGGGTATACTGCAATTCCAGAAACCCAGTTATCTGTACAAGGAAAGCGCGGGAATGGCTGAGCTGGTTATTGAACGTAACGACGGATGTGACGGTAGAGTTACTGTCCGCTTCAAGACTAAGGACATTACTGCCATAGCTGGCAAGGACTACGAGGTATGTGACAACCGTGAGAATTTGTTACACTTAGTGTGTCACTGTCACTACGATCAGGGAGGCGATGTTGTGCCCTGTAGTGCACCGCATCCCTAATGGTAGTTGTATTACGAAAGTTCCCATGACAATGAAGTTTGTATTATTAAAGCTTATAATTAACTTGTGTGTTCTTAAATAAATCCTCTCTGTGTTAACCTGTATCTGTTAGCTGTGTTTATCTGCAAATATCTATGTAGCTGGCTTTATATGCTGTTTGTCCTTTCTCTATCTAGCTAAATGGCTCGGAGAACACGTTTGTAATGGATCGTCACTGTTCTGAGCTAGCGAGCTCGCCCTGACCTGCCTCATTCTTGGAGAGCTGGCCACCTTCCATCTGTTATTAGGAGCTAGTTGTTTTGAAAGAGCTGGCCACCCTTATTTGCCAACTAATCTATCCTCTAGAGCTCTAGCTGATTTAGTCGTGTAATGAGTCCTTAAGAGCTGCATTTCATAGGTGTATCTTACTGAGCCGTGTTACTGCAAATTAAGCTTTCAGGACATCAAAGTGAACCGTATATTTTGTAGATTAAAGAGACCCGTCGCAGTTATTAGCTTGAGTAGTATGAATATTGAACCTATAAGCAAATATACCTCTTTCAGTAACACCCATATTATTAACTGTAGTCAACTCTTTACGTATAATTTGTAGTGTAATAATGGGCAAGTTTCCATAAACGATATTTTATGATCGGCGACGATAATCGCTTATTGAGCGCTTTTTCGGCGCTTTTTAAAAAAAAAACCGTTTACAATCGCTTTTTTTACGATTATAAACGGTTCAAAAAAAATCGCTTATAATCGACTATAATTGGTGTCATAATTCAAAAAAGCGCTTTTTTGAATTTAAAAGCGCTTATAAGCGCTTTTAAGCGCTTACTAGCGTCGCTGAGCGATTTAAAAGCGGTTTTCCAGTAGGATTGGCGCCAAAAACGGGTGGATAAGCGGTTGGCCGGATAAGCGATTCGTGGGCGCTTTTTTGAACCATTTATAAGCGATTATAAGCGCTTATAATTGGGGTGCAATTTAGCTGTTTGTAAAGCGCAAATAAAGCACTTATAAGCGCTTTTAAAATTGAGTCAGGAAAACGCTATATTACATCTTATAACCGCTTATAATCGATTATAAGCGTTTTTTTAGAAATCGCTTATTACGGCTAATTCATCGCTATTTCACCGCTTTTACCGCTTTTCCTATCATCCATGGCCAGGTGAGCAGGAATTAAAAAGCGCTTATAAGCGCTTTTTCGATGCTGCCCCCTAGCCTGGTCGGAACAGGGTAGTGCCCGGAATTTAAAAGCGCTTTTAAGCGATTTCTCAATTCCCCTTAACCTGGTTGGAACTTTCATGTGCCTTTCTGAGCAACCTGGGGTGCACCGGCAGAGTCAGGATTTAAAAAGCGCTTATAGGCCAGGTGAGCAGGAATTAAAAAGCGCTTATAAGCGCTTTTTCGATGCTGCCCCTAACCTGGTCGGAACGGGGTGGTGCCCGGAATTTAAAAGCGCTTATAAGCGCTTTTTCAATGCCGCCCCTAACCTGGTCGGAACGGGGTGGTGCCCGGAATTTAAAAGCGCTTATAAGCGATTTCTCAATTCCCCTTAACCTGGTCGGAACTGGAGAGTGCCCACTTGCAGTTGCATGTGCTTTTCTGAGCAACCTGGGGTGCACCGGCAGAGCCAGGATTTAAAAGCGCTTATAGGCGCTTATGATCGCTTTTCTACCGCTTTTTCTATCACCCATGGCCTGGTTGGCAAGAATTATAAAGCGCTTATAAGCGTTTTTTCAATGCTGACCCTAACCTGTTCGGAACAGGGGTGTGCCCGGAATTAAAAAGCGCTCTTAAGCGCTTTTTAAATGCTGCCCCAACCTGGTCGGAACTGGAAATCAGAGTGCCCGCTTATAAGTGCTTTTCTGAGCAACCTGGGGTGCACCGGCAGAGTCAGGATTTAAAAGCGCTTATGATCGCTTTTCTACCGCTTTTTCTATCACCCATGGCCTGGTTGGCAAGAATTATAAAGCGCTTATAAGCGTTTTTTCAATGCTGCCCCTAACCTGTTCGGAACAGGGGTGTGCCCGGAATTAAAAAGCGCTCTTAAGCGCTTTTTAAATGCTGCCCCTAACCTGGTCGGAACTGGAAATCAGAGTGCCCGCTTATAAGTGCCTTTCTGAGCAACCTGGGGTGCACCGGCAGAGTCAGGATTTAAAAGCGCTTATGATCGCTTTTCTCCCGCTTTTCCTATCACCCATGGCCTGGTTGGCAAGAATTAGAAAGCGCTTATAAGCGCTTTTTCAATGCTGCCACTAACCTGGTCGGAACGGGGGAGTGCCCGGAATTAAAAAGCGCTCTTAAGCGCTTTTTGGTCGGAACTGGAAATCAGAGTGCCCGCTTATAAGTGCTTTTCTGAGCAACCTGGGGTGCACCGGCAGAGTCAGGATTTAAAAGCGCTTATGATCGCTTTTCTACCGCTTTTTCTATCACCCATGGCCTGGTTGGCAAGAATTATAAAGCGCTTATAAGCGTTTTTTCAATGCTGCCCCTAACCTGTTCGGAACAGGGGTGTGCCCGGAATTAAAAAGCGCTCTTAAGCGCTTTTTAAATGCTGCCCCTAACCTGGTCGGAACTGGAAATCAGAGTGCCCGCTTATAAGTGCTTTTCTGAGCAACCTGGGGTGCACCGGCAGAGTCAGGATTTAAAAGCGCTTATGATCGCTTTTCTCCCGCTTTTCCTATCACCCATGGCCTGGTTGGCAAGAATTAGAAAGCGCTTATAAGCGCTTTTTCAATGCTGCCACTAACCTGGTCGGAACGGGGGAGTGCCCGGAATTAAAAAGCGCTCATTAGCGCTTTTTTAATGCTGCGCTTATAAGCGATTTCTCAATTCCCCTTAACCTGGTCAGAACTGGAAATCAGTGTGCCCGCTTATAGTTATAAGTGCTTTTCTGTGCAACCTGGGGTCACCGGCAGAATCAGGATTTAAAAGCGCCTATAGGCGCTTATGATCGCTTTTCTACTGCTTCTACTAAATCGCTCGCCCAAATTTTAAGGAAATTCTTGTGAAAAGGCCCTTTGGGGCATGAAAGTGATATATATCGGTGTATTTTTGGACGCTGATTCCGAATCACCCCCATGACGTAGGGTTAAAATGCTTCCCTGGAGAGTTATGGGCAAAAAACCGTTTTGGTCACGTGACAGGCTAGTAAAATGCGAATTCGATTGTTTAGGGCCCGGGTTAGGGTTAGGCTTGTGGTAAGGGTTATGGTTACCTTCGGGGTTATGGTTAGGGTTAGGGTTGGGATTAGGATTTATGTAAAACCGTTTTGTACGGCTGCAAAACCATAAAAACCAAAGTCACGTGAAATTTTTGGGCGAGCGAATTAGTAAAAGCCGAGTTGGACTTCAATATATTAAACAAATATTTTACGAGTGTCACCCGTCAATTCTCGCAATCACATTCAACATTGCGCTTCGCTAGTTTTAACGGGTGATACTCGTTAAATATCTGTTCCATATATTGACGAGTCCAACTCGGCGCGCGTCCTGGTAGGTTGTAAACCTACAACGCTAGTTTGGTAAAAATTCACCAGGCCACTAGACTGGGCCTCGCCAAGCTGTGAATTGAAAGATTGACATCGCATTGTGAGTCAATATTTTATTTTGTCTCATGAAAAAATGCTTGCAGCCTGGGCACGGATCTAAGCAATTTTATATTGGGTGTCAAAATTTTGTCCTCATATCTGACGTCGCGCGTGGCAACATGAACACTGCGGGCGAGCGCACGAAGGCGAGTTGGTGCTTTTCTTTACTTGTGAAACAAGTGGCGCGAATTTTACCAGGGGACCCCAAGCTAGTATGTTCATAAGCATAGCCTGGCGTAATTAAACCCTCTAAAACGCGCAAATAGGCGTGTTTATGCGATTTTACAATCAAATAATCAGATTTTACAATCTAACTCAGCGCGCGGCTCTTGTAGTGCATACGTCACTTCTTTTTTATTGGTAGTTGGCGTGCATGTGATCTTTTGCGCGGCTGTAATTGGTTCTGAACGATCACGTGAATGCTAGTCCAATGAGCATTCGCACTTTTTTAGGGCGATGAAAGTCGTAATTCACTCAGCCCGAATAAAGATTTTGCGGAATGCAGAATGACAGGCTGAGCGCCGCCCAGTAACGCGAATTGTAAGCACCCTGTCACCCGATCTTGAGGTGACGTACGACACTTCGTTTAACAAACTAATTAAAACATTTTCTGTTTCCCGCTAGGCTCATTGGACCAGGTGAGCTTGCATGCTTGTGAATGTGATTGTAAGTACAGCTGTACTGTAGTTTATACCTAATTACCCCTACTGCAGAAACTGCAAAGTGCGGGAAATTTTAGGAACCAATATATGGTTGCCAAAATCGATGGAGGGTTGGCGGCTAAATCAAAGCTCAACGGTTCTGGATTAGGGGTGGAGACGATAAAATAAACTTGCTCAGATTTTAAAATTTTTTGAAACACTGTTTTCTAGAGACTGTGAGAATTTTCACAATACCAAATTTGTCATACCTTTTTGGAAAGATCAGTGAGTTTCGCCTCACTAGCTGGGTGCCATTTGCTCTATCCAGAGCCCTTGCGCTTGCAGTAGCGCGCGCCCACTCACTTCTTGACGTACTTGTGAAACAAGCGCGCCCGAAGTGGCGCGAAAGCACATGGTTATAGGTGAAGGGTGCCATATTTGATGGTGCGCGGCTTTTGGAGCTAAAGTAGATGTAAAAGTCGCGTAATTTGACCAAATTCGTTGATTTTTGTCGTATTATTTCGGACACTTTCCTCGTAAGTTTATGTGTACAGAGTGAGCTCACCAATTTTTGTTGCAATCGGAGGTCGGGAAGGATACTCGATATCTATTTGTTTATAGAAAATTGTGCTGGCCGAAATTAGCGCTAAAAAACTATCCTACTATTATATACAGTCGGCACGCGCGGC